GGCCAAATACACAAAATTCAAATTGTTGGATTACCTACTCATAGCAGCAATTGGTTTCAAACTTGCAATCCAACAGTATTTAAACAATTTTCAAGCGTGTTTACAATAAACCAGCTCAAGATATGTTTAATCATCCTGGAGTTGTAACAAAAGAAGCCAGCTAATCAGGAATTTTAAGCAAGGTCTAATACTGAATCAGACTTTAAACCATGTTGAATATTTCTTTGAGTTAATCTGTGGAAAGCACAAAATATGTATTTTCTGTACACTGGTTGTTACTTATCCATATCTCTTTGACCGAACAGAAGCAATTGCAACAACAGTCGAGCAGATTTATCTGAGAATTGACAAATTAAGAATCATTTTACCAGATATTGAACTGGGATAAAATGAGATTAGCCTGACACCTTTTATTATAATTATAGTAGTTGATCATGGCTATTTACCTAAACCAATAACAATGGAAGAAATTCCAGAACATAGCGCTCAGCTGGAATTTTTTAAGTTCTGTTTACTAAATGGGTATAATTTATTAAAAACAGAAAAAATTAAAATTTTATGCAGTAAAACTGCATTAACTAGTATGTTTTGTGACATCTTTAACTATTACTTTAGACTCTGTTACTTTAGACTCTGTTACTTTAGACTCTGTTACTTTAGACTCTGTTACTTTAGACTCTGTTACTTTAGACTCTGAAGTTTGATAACTAATTAATCAGCATGCAATTGATTTTAAACTTTTGCCTCAAATTTAAAATTCATCTTATTTATGAGATAAATTTTATGATATTTTGCTGAATACAGATGCAGATTGTAAAAAAAAGATTTAAAAAAATCCGATAAGTATTGAAAAACATAGAAGAATTAATTACTATAAGTTCAATTAAAGAACATGTTTTTTCTTTGATATACTTTTTAATAATTTAATAAGTTAACATTCTCTTTTATTTTTCTTTTGTTATATTTCTTTTATATTTTTTATATTAGCTTCCCACTAATCCTTTATATTTTTATTTTTGAACTTGTGCCGTCTTTATTTGTTCCAGCACGCTTCTATAAGAGTTTTATATTGTTCATTTTCTAAATGTTTTTGACTTAATATCTGTACTTGTAGCCTAGAGTTATTTTATTTTTACGTTTAGGATCGCTATGCGTTGACTTAAGCGTTATAGTTGATCATTTAATACAGTTGGCTGAAAAAAAAGGTTTCTACAATTTGTCTAAATTTTTTGCTAATATAGAAGTCTTGACTGAGACACACCGTTAGTGACTGCAAAACTATTCATGTTTTTTGGGAATAAATAATCCCCAAGTATATTCTACTTCTAAGAAATTTAAAATTTTATTTTTAGGACATTCTTTTCTAAACATTGCGGAGTATCGGTCTTTTTCAAATAACGTTTTGTTAACATCACCACCCATAGCAATTTAAAAATCATTTAAATTTTTGTTAAGAATTTCTTTAAATAGTTTTGTCTTAATTTTCTGCCTCCGGCAGTATTTTATGATGTTTGAGATACTTGCAGACGTGATGTATGATACTTCCAGACGTGAAGGAAAATCCAAACAGTTATATGTTTATACTTTTACTAAATAAGGATGCTTCGCAAAAAAATGCTATGATTGGAGCATGGGAACAAAAAGCCCTAAAATTTTAGCTACACCTGCTCCAACAAGAGAGCAGGTGTAGCTAAAAAAAGAGAGAGCAACAAGTTAAAAAAATATATTTTTTTGTTATTCTTAACGAAGTTTGTCGAGATGACTTATTATGTGATTTTTACCTCTAATTTTATTATATGATTTTTGCTTCTAATTTAATTATGTAATTTTTTGCTCTAATTTTATTATGTGATTTTTGCCTCTAATTCTATTATGTGATTTTTGCATCTAATTTTATAAAATTTTAAAAGCAACTACCTACTCTAACTTAAAACGCACAAAAAAAAAACACGAAAAAAACACGAGTTGCAAAAAACTTTTAAAATACGAGATGTAAATACAGTTTTGTTTTCAATCACTTTTAAGATTTTCTGTTGAGTTGTTATTTTTTTACCTTTTTTAATATTTATTGAAAAATAATTTATGGAACTCTGTCTGGAATTTGGTCACTTTATCAACTGAATTTGGCTGGAATCCGGTCATTTTACCCTAACATTTTTTTTTTAATTTTTTTATCTGTAAGGTAACACATTGTTTGTGGTTTTAAAATAAATGGAGAGATGGGTTTTAAAAATTATTTTTTCGTAAGTCGTGTATTTAAAATTTTTTAACTACAATGATTGCAGTGTTTTGCTTTTTTTGTTTAAGAATCTATTACGTGTATTTTATCACATTTGATAAGCGTACAGTAGAGCTTCCAATTTTTTAAACCGGCACTTTAAAACTTTGTTTATTCGAAGCTATTTTTAGTTCATTACCCAGTTTATTAAGAAAGTTAAATTGGAGCAGCCAGTTATTATTAATTAAAAAAACAATTTGGTCAGTATAACAATTGTTCAACTCTTTTTCGTTTCCTTATTCGTATTATTGAATAAATGTTTTTTATTAAAGTTAAGCCAACTTTAGCTCATTTTTTTTTATTGTCAAAAGACAATAATTATTGGGGTATATTTGTTATTTTACGATGTTATTTACTTTTAATGACATTAATGTCTTTTTTACGATCAAAACAACAGGTGATTGTCAACAGGTAGTTTTAGATGCGGACAAACATAAACATTATAAAGGCTTGTTAAGATTTAATAGTTTACTATAAAAGGTGTGATATAAAATATCTGACAGTAAAATTAGTGAAATTTTGTCTATACTGTAGAGAGAAATGACTCTTGAACTTTAGAAAGTTGGATACTAAGTATGATTTAAATGGTCATACCCAAGCAGTGAATACCTGAGGAAAAATTGAAGTACATTGTGTTAGACAAAAAGTGAGGAATGCTTTACTCTTGTACTTAAGAAAATTGAATAGTATGATAACAAAACAATTAAAATAGATCCGAGGGACAATATTTGAGTAATTGCAGCGCATGTGCTGACATCAAGTTTTTTCATTTTTTGACATCAAGTTGAATAAAACTAATTTATGCCTAATTGACAAAGTTATCAATGTTGGAGTGCAAATAGAGTTTGCCTTCTGAAGTGTTAATTCATTGACAACAATTGTGTCATTTTTACTTATTTTTCAAATGTTTTTCCTGTTAATGTGTTGACAAACTTATTACATAGACTATACATTTGGTTGTGCCAAGAAATGAGAAACTGAGTTTTTTCGAGTTTTAATTGAGAGCAATTACTAATTAAGTTACAAAAGAAGAAAAAAAAAAAAAAATTATTGACATAAAAACATAAAAAATGGTAAGCCAAACATAAAAAAGAGAAAGAATTCCGAAGAACTGGTGTATAAGGATAAAAAATAAAAATAAAAAAAAAATAAATCTTAAAATTTTTTACGCGTGAAGAAATAGTGAAAGTAAAAGGATACGAGGATGAATGAATAAATGATGCTAGGATGAATGATACTCGGATAAATAAAACTAGGATGAATGACGAACCACGAAATATTGGGTTTTGGCTAGACATAATAGCTTTCTTGAGCTTTCAGCAAACTCAATTTTACAAAAAAATAAAAGATATACAAAAAACTTTACCCAGTGGTTAATGGTACAAAAAAAAGACGTCTTTTAAACGTCTTTTGAACGTTACGGACGTCTTTTGAACATTATTTGAACGTTTTGGGGGTCTTTTAAAAGTTCAAAAGACGTCTTTTTAACAGATTCTATAAAAGTTCAATATTGAAAAAATATTTTTCATCGATATTGAAAGACGCAAAGTAGAGGACTAATTCATTATTATAGACATATCAACAGTATTAAAATATTAATAAGCAGTAAAGAAATGATTCTTTTTTGATTTGAAATTCGTAACCCACTAAAAACCCTTAACTGTCACAAAATAGAGATCTCATTCATGATTGGCTTCTTGTTCTATGAATTAAAAAAGTAATAATTTTTTGTCAAGACTAGAGTATATAGTTGTTTTATTAAAAAATGGAACCATATTAAAGATTTTTAGGAAGAATATTAGTATCGACGAAAAACAACTCAGGACAAAGGAACATTGTGGTACCACGGAAGATACTAGAAATGAAGGAAAGTTTATTAAAACAAGAAGTTCAAAATTTGTATTGGTTGTCGAACTGTTGGACTTAAAATAAGATGTTTTTAATTAAAAAATCAAAGACCTAATAAATATGACAGACCTTATAATATACTGGTATAATAATTAGAATATAAATAGAAAAGTATTAGTAATCTATAGAGTTTTAAAAACTAGAGTCATATGTGGCATATTCCAGCAGAGATAAATACAAAGCTCGGTTAACCATTTAACCATTAATGGTTAACGATTTGATAAACTGTTTAGAGATTATAAAAGAGAGTTCTGAGGAACGCTTTTGTAAAGCTGTAACTAAAATGTTCCCAAAAGAACCAGCAGTTGAAGAGTTTTTGTGACAAATAGAAATGCATTAGTAACTATATGAAATGTTGAGAACTACATTAAACATAAAGAGCTGCATAAAAGTATCAGTAACCACCTAAATTATCTAACTACGCAAAATATCAGGAACTGTTTAAAATATTACTTCTTAAGTATAAAGTCTTATTGCTTACAAAAACTAAATTAAACTGAAAAAAAAAATTGAAAAAAAAACTCTAAATTAAAAAATGTTTTGTTACATATAGGTTGTATTATCAATACATTTTTTTAAAACATTATACTCCATAGAAACTTAAAGTTTTGTTATGTGTTTTATTGTTTGCTCCATCTATTTCCATTTCAAAATAACGTTACTGAGGTGGACATGATATGTCCACCTCAGTAACGTTATTTTGAGCAAAAAAGGGCGTTAATCCAATTTAAAACATTGCCAGATTTCATCAGTCTTTTTTTTTAATAAAATTTTACGGGGTAAAGACTTTAAAAAAGTGTAATATAAAAAGTAGTTTTAACAAATTTATTTTATTAACTTTATGAAAAACTTTAACTCTAACAAATATACTAAATAATATCAACGATTTTAACCTTTACAATGTTTAAAAACTATAATTTTAATGGCGGTTTGATAATATGCAATTTACCTAAACAGCCTAAAGCGTACTTTGATCATTTTAAGGCGATAAATAAAATTTACTGGTCTGAAGAATGCACTTGATAAAATGATTAGGTATGTCAAATCTCTTGCCACATGTATTAAGATACAATTACAAGCATCACATGTGTTCATGTAAGCAATCATGACACAGGCAGGTAAATAAGACAAAAGAAATACAACTAGCATATTAATAAACGACTTGTTTACTGAACGTTCAATTTTTAATTTTTTCTTACTTTTTATTTCCGTTCGAATATTATCTTTACAGTTGCTTGAATTGCTTTGTGTATCGTTGCTTGAGTTTTCTTTACTACTAATGTTATCAATACGATTTTCTTTTCCGGAGTTCTCTAAATTATTAGCTTTGGTGTTTTTAAAAAGATTAAACTCTGATTTTGAACTCTTATTGAAGATGTGAAGACGAAAAATTCCAATTGTCATAAAAAGACTCACGCATGCCGTAGCAACGGCCGTTGTAGAAAAAACTGCTAAATACTTTACATACCCATATTCAAAATATGAGATAACTAAAATACTAGAGAGAGCCCAAGTGCTTGATAATACTAACAGGCACTTCCAATTAGCTAAACCATTACGGTACAATATTGGCCATTTTAAAGCAATTACTCGGTCTATGCAAAGTAAAACCATTGTCAGTATTGAAGTTCCATTAATTATAAACAAAGTTACATGTAGTGCTTTTGTTTCTGCACAGCTAATTGGAATGCGTAACATTTCTTTTCCATGAAATGAAATTGAGATGGGGTCTGAAATTAACCCGGTTAAAAGATCTGCCAGGGCTATATTTAGTAAAATTTTGTGAAATGTGGACTGACGCAAAATATTTTTTTTCCGAAGTAATGAGAAAATTACAGCTAGATTTGTTGCAACTGTTAACAAACAGATAATGATAGAGAAGGAAAAACTAAAAGATGATAGCTCGGTTATTTCATGTGTGGAATTGCAGTCTTCAGAGGATGCCATTTTATTGAAACCCTGTAAAATTATTAAATTATCAAATCAAAAAGAACAACAATATATAAGATATTACAAACTAATTTTAAAATGTTTCTATGTTTTCCCCAGGTTAAGTTCAATACTATTAAACTAGATTTATTTTCCTTAGGTTATCTTTAACACTTTTTAAAAATAGGTCTATTTTGCTTGCTAAAAACAATACAATTATTCTATAACTGATTAACAACCTAATAAAAATATATTTTGGAATGTTCAGGATCTTTGCAAAGCTTGAAAAAATATGTTGTGATGTTAAGAGTAAAAGGCGGTAATAAGATACTGTTGTCTTCTTAAAATATTGACAAAATATATTATTGAACAATTTTTTTAGTTTTTATTTTTTTAGAGAAAAGGGTTAATAAAAATCTTGATTTTATATAAAAAGAATTGAAAAAAAAGCGCTTTAAAAATAAATGGAAAAATCTTCAAAATCTAAAATAAACTCTTTAAAAACTTGTGCGAAATCTTCAAAAACTTTTCTGCAATCATCAAAAAATCTAATAGTCATAACCTGAAATCATGAATAATGGTCTAATAACCTGAAATTATTAAACACAATTATGTTTTCAAAATTAATTTTTTTCTTTTCGTTTTGCAAAAAGATAGCATCTATTCTGCAGAAAAAAGTGTATTCTGCAAAACAAATATTTTATGTTATATAAATTATTAATAATTGTTATCACAATATAATGAATATTTATATGATAAAAAAACTAATTTTACAATTAAAAAAGAAAAAGGATTTAGAAAACTCTTAACTTTTGGAATTTACAAAAACTTTTAATATACCAAGTTTTTGAATGCAACAAAGTAAAAATGTAGTAAATACAACAAAATAAAATTCGTGCAGTGAGTACTACGTAATAAAATAATTTCAACAAAGTATCATTATTTAAACAATATGTTATGTATAACCATTTTTTTAAGAAAATGTTTTGAAACCTGGACAAACAATCCAATTATTCAATTTCTTTTTTTATTTTTCTTCTTGTAAATACTTTCTTTATTAAAAGACTTTTCACAATTCGACGCCAAACCAAAGTTTGGCGTCAAATAGTGAAAATAACAATAATAATGTTTTAAAATGTTTCATGAGAATAAATCATATTGAGCGGCTCGTAGTGTTTTCTTATGATAGTGAAAAAAAATATTCTAATTGTATCTTTATTCAATCTACGATATTCTTAAAGAATAAATTAAGAATAGGGAAACTTAGGGTAAAGTTGCGATAAATTATCCATTGGTTAAATTTAGCAAAAGAAAATTCTTTTCTCGTCTCATTTGCAGAACTTTAAATTAACAAATACTAAATGAAATAAAAATGAAAATTATCTTTGGAATTGATCTAAAAATTGACTTTTGAAAAATTGAAGAGAATATGCAAATAATGATAACAGTAAATGGTTATCTATAGAACGGATGATGATACATATATATATATATATATATATATATATATATATATATATATATATATATATATATATATATATATATATATATCATATATATATATATATATATATATATATATATATATATATATATATATATATACATATATATATATATATATATATATATATATATATATATATATATATATATATATATATATATATATATATATATATATATATATATATATATATATATATATATGTATATATATATATATATATATGTATATATATATATATATATATATATATATATATATATATATGTATATATATATATATATGTATATATATATATATATATATATATATATATATGTATATATATATATATATATATATATATATATATATATATATATATATATATATATATATATATATATATATATATATATATATATATATATATATATATATATATATATATATATATATAAAAGAACGACCGTTTATTGCATGAATAAATTCATCGACATTACATTTAAGCCGATTTTACACATTATTTTATCTCTTATGGAACAGAAACAAAAACCTTAAAAGATTATTGGAAATTTTAAAGAAAAATTCCAAGAAAAATCAATGCAGATAGTATTATACTTACATGCGACATTGTTAATCTTTACACTACCATTCCACACCTTCTAGAATTAAATCTAAATTCTAGAACTCTTTGAAAATCTTTGAAAATCTGGGTCGAAAATAACAAAGATCTTATACCTGAACAATTTACAACCATTTTTATCATCTGCATTCTTTATTTCTTCAACAACTAATTATTTTACCAAATTACAAGCACATCTAGAGGAACAGATTTTGCACCAGAATATACAACGTCTTTCTATTGGATTCTTAGAAGAAACAATGTTTTTTTCCAAAATCTTACCTAGATATTCGTCGAAGGAGGAAGTGCAAAATATTGCACAGTTTTATTTAGATATGCGCACGATGGTTTCAACATATAACTAAGACATTTAGATATAAATAAATTCAAAACATCATTTGCGGAATTAAATGATTCAATCAGCTTTAGACTATGGCATCAAACTTATCGAAAATATCAATAATATATTTGATTTTCTATATATATCTGCTATTTTTAAAAACAATAATCGTACCACAACCAACATACTCTATAAAGTAACTAAGACCCGTGATAACATAAATTAAAACAGCCATCAGCCTGATCACGTTAAAATGAACATTCTATACAATCTTGCAAAAAGGATAGTGGTTTTATATCTGATTTCGTCACTGAAAAGCTATGTTCCTCAAAAAAAAAAAAAAAAAAAAGGTAACCTTCTTTCCAGCTTTTTATTTTTCTGCAACCTTAAAATGAAAGGAATTAGTTATCTTATGATGATAATTATCTTATCATTTATAAAAAAAAAACATGATACCTTTAAACAACACTTCCTATTTAAAAAGACACAAAACAATAGTAATTCTTAGCAACATAAACTTAATTTCTTTTTTACAAAAATACAAATTTTTAATATAAAAATTTCTTGTATATAATAGCACTACTACTGATGAAACTGTGAAAAGTCTTGTTCTAAATTTTAAAATAAAGGTTGTAAAATTGAATAATTTATTTTTAAGAAATAGAAACTATTTAGAAATATTTTATTGATATTTTGCTTGGCATTTACTTTACTTTATATATGTTAAGTTGATATATGTTTTAAACATATATCAACTTAACGTATATAATATTCTTTGTTTTATGTACAAATGAAAAACAAAACGATCTTTGTCTCCTTTTCATAGTTTATTTTTACCAAAACAAAAAAATAAATACGATTTACGAAATGATGATTTTTTGATGTAACTATTTAAAAAAATTAATTATAGTCAATTTTGCATACCATTTCGTGGACCGTATCTTTGGAATAAAACAAGCAGTAGTAGTAGACTTGTCAACTGTTTATAAAACTGATCTGGGTTAATGAAAAACAGTTTCATTTAACATGCATTCTCATTTAATCAGCACTGGTGGTATTAAATGTCGACATATAGATAAAGATTTTTTGCAATCGAAATTCTCGTACAGTAGTTTAAATCGAAACCGGTATTGTACTGGTGAGAATTCTGAACGTACCTGGCTTTGCTAATCACCATCAAATGAACATGTTTGTTTTTCCAATTTTAGGCCTTTTTTTATCTGATATGAAAAATAATTATCCTTTTACAAAAGGCTTTAATCATTGGAAAAATAAAAGCAAAAATAAAAAAAATAAAAGCAAAAAAAAGTAGAAAAGTAGAGAAAGTCATATATCGGCTTGTTTCACTTTTTCATCCACTTCGTGAAGAGAAATTTGGTTCAGTACACAATGGTAACTTTATGGGTATCCTTGAGTTTTTAGCTCTTTATGATCCTTTATTGGCTGCACATATTGATAAGCATAGCAACGCAGAGCGCGGCAAAACATCATACTTATCTTTTACTGCCTGTGATGAATTCATTAAATTGATGGGTCAAATATTACTTTTGTTTATTGTTGATGAAATACAAAAAGTAAAGTACTATAGTGTGTCAATTGATTCAACACTTGACTTATCGCACATTGATCCTTTGTCTGTGACAGTTTGTTATGTAAAGAAAGATGAACCAATTGAGTGTTTTTAGACATTCATTAAGTTTAAAAATCACACTGGAATTGAATAATCAAATGCATTATTGGAGTTCTTAGAGAAAAATAGAGTAGACATTAGAAACTTTAATGTTCAGACGTCTTATAATGCATTGAGCATGTCTGGATGTTACAATGGTGTTAATATTTTATATGTTTGTGAATATGTTATTTACACACCTTGCTTTGCTTATATATTAAATTCAGTTGGAAAAAATTTTTCTAGTTGTTGTAGTGCAGCAGTTGGTTTTTTGATATTGTGCAACAGAACTACACATTATTTAGTGCCTCCACTTATCGATAGACAATTCTGACAAAAGCGCTAACCAAAAATAAGACACAAGTGCCTAAAAAAAATCATACACACGTTGGCTAGCACATGCTGATGGAACAAGTGCTTTGTGAAAAGGTTACAGGAAAATTTAATCTTTTACCATTGAATTGATAAACGTACAAAAGGTGAAACTTGACGAAAGACACTTGGGCAAAACGTCTTAGTGAATTGGAAACTGCTACTTTGACTGTCTTTTGGAACACGATGCTGCAAAAATTCAATAAAACAAGTCTAGTTTTACAAGGTCTAACTTTAGATTTGAATAAAGCTGTTGGTTTGTTGCATTCGTTGTCTGAGTATGTTCAATGTCAAGATGTTCAACAGAGTTAAATAAATTTTAGAAATATGGGAAAGAGTTGTTCAAATGTGATGTATATATAAAAATAAGTGTGATGTATATAAATCAAAAGACTCAGAAGAAGAAATCAACAGTTTGATGAAAGTGCCTCTGAAGAAGTTCTACTGCTTTCAAAAGATAAACTTTGAGTTAATGTGCTGATTGCTATTCAGATGTGGTCAACAGGGCTCATAAACAATTTGCAAATGTTGGCT